CAAGGTCCCGCACGGCAGGCTAGTCATGAAGGTTAGATCGCATGAGATCCAGGGAGAGCTAGCTAATTGGATTCAAAATTGGTTCGATAGTAGGAAGCAGAGAGTGATGGTTGAAGGTTATTTCTCGGACTGGAGGCCTCTGATCAGTGGTGTGCCACAGGGGTCGGTGCTGGGACATTTGTTATTTGTTATTTACATAAATGATCTGGATGTGAATGTACAAGGAATGATCGGTAGGTTCGTGGATGATACAAAATTAGGAGGGATTGTTGATAGCGAGGAAGGTGATCAAAAATTACAGAGGGATCTTGATCAGATGGGGAAGTGGGCTGAGGATTGGCAAATGCAATTCAATACAGATAAGTGTCAGGTGTTGCACTTCGGAAAGTCAAACCAAGATAGGACTTACACAATAAATAGTAAGGTCCTGAGCAGTGTTGTGGAACAGAGAGATCTAGGAGTACAAGTATATAGTTTGTTGAAAGTTGCGTCACAGGTGGACAGGATGGTGAAGAAGGCATTTAGCATGCTGGCCTTCATTGGTCGAGGCATTGAGTGTAGGAGTTGGGACGTTATGTTACAGTTATATAAGTCATTGGTGAGGCCGCACTTGGAGTATTGTGTACAGTTTTGGTCACCCTGTTACAGGAAAGACATTATCAAACTGGAAAGTGTGCAAAGAAGATTTATGAGGATGTTGCCAGGACTAGTAGGCATGAGTTATAGGGAGAGGTTCGCCAAGATAGGACTTTATTCCTTGAAATGTAGAAGAATGAGGGGTGACCTTATTTGAGGTATATAAAATCATGAGGGGCATAGATAGGATGAATGCAGGTAGCCTTTTTCCCCAGGGATGGGGAGTTGAAAACTAGATGGCAGAGGATTAAGGTGAGAGGGCAAAGATTTAAGAAGGACTTGAGGGGCAACTTCTTTTCACAGAGAGTGGTGCATATATGGAATGGGCTGCCAGAGAAAGTGGTTGAGGCAGGTACAATAGCAACATTTAAAAATCATTTGGACAGGTACATGGATCGGAAGGATTTAGAGGGATATGGACCAAATGTGGGCAATTAGAACTAGCTGAGTGGGCACCGTGATCAGCATGGTCACCAGTTTGTGCCAAAAAGCCTGTTCCCATACTGTATTCCTTTTTGACTCTCTATGACTCTATGTGTCACTGTCAGAAATATCATTGATGGTAAAGTCTTCTAAGCATTGAACCTAGGTCACTGATGCGATCCCCAAATGCCAATACAAGGGGTCCTGCTATAATGTGTGCTCCAGCAATGCGAACTGGCTATAACGTGAATTGGCCTGAACACTATTTCTAAAATGCGAACTTTGTGTTGGCTGTAACACAATTCCATTGGTGCGCATCAACATCACACGATCGTTTCACGGGCTTTGTCCTGAGCATGTGCAATGGGTTAGCGCCGAAAGAGTCTCCGCGCTGGCATCACACAATCATCTCGATTTCTGTCAGAGTACAGTACTCCTTTTGGTTTTTCAAATTCAAATGTGAGGACAAAGTGACAAGAAGGTTAGCAAGAAGCGTCCTGGTGCTAAAATTGTGGGTAGTGAATGTAAAAGAAGGCTATAAAACTGGAAGAGAAGCTTGATGTTATAAAGCGTTTTGAGTGTAGTGAGAGAACAGGTGATATAATTTGTATAACAGGAATAAAGGAGTCTACCTTACGCACCATTAGAGACTATGCAGAAAAGATTAAAGCAAGCTGTATTGCTGGAACAAGTCTGATTGTTAGCAAATCTGTGAGGTCACAGACAAAGGAACTTGAGGAGATGGAACAGCTTCTAAGTGTGTGGATAGAAGATGAAACAAAAAAGTGATCTGGGACCACCTTTCTCACTGTAAAAGAGAAAGCCTTATCAATTTATGAAGATCTAACAAAAAAAGCTGAAAATCCTGCAGATGTGCCTGCCTTCAGTGCTAGCAGTGGCTGGTTAGCTGGTTTTAAGAACCACGATGCTTTTCATAATGTAAAGTTACGTGGAGAAGCTGCCATTGCAGACGAGGAGCATGAGATGGCATTTTGTCACAAAGTGAAAAGATTAATTGACGAAGAAGGCTACAACTGAGATCAAATTTTCAATTTGGATGAGACAGGTTTATACTGGAAAAAAAAATGTCATCAAGAACCTACATTTCTATGAATGAAGCACAAGCTCCAGGCTTTAAGGTGGCCAAGGATCATATGACTGTGCTGCTGGGTGCCAATGGCAGTGGAGACTTAAACCTTAAGCCTGTGGTGGTGTACCACTCTGCCAACCCGCGAGTCTTGAAAGGTTACCTTAAGTCCACTCTAGGTGTCTACTTTAGATAAGGTGCCCAGCAAAAGAGGTTGGATGCTGGAGCAAGTTTGTTCTGACCTTATTGTTGATGTTTTGGAAGATGTTTTTAGCGAGTATTGCAGAAAATTGGATTTCGAGATTCTCCTCATCCTGGATAATGCGCCAAGCTATCCTCCCACCATTGGTGAGCTTTCTGAAAGCATCAAAGTGCTATTTCTACCGCCAAACATAACCTCTCTCCTTCAACACATGGACCAGGGTGCAATAGCAGCTTTTAAACCTTATTATTTAAGAGGCTGATTGCAGCCACTGAGGTGAATAAGGAGAGTGTTCTTCAGTTTTGGAAGAGTTTTAACATCAAGGATGCAATTGACATTATCGTGGAGGCCTGGGGTGATGTCAGTGAGGACTGCTTGCATGCAGTTTGGCGGAAGCTTCTCCCAGAATTTTTTCAAGATTTTAAAAACTTTGATCTGTCAAAGGAGCTCAAAGATCAAAGAATATTGTATTTTTCTTGCAAAGGAAGTTGATTTGAAGAAGCGGAGAGTGAGGATGTTGAAGAGCGCTGGAGTCCCACTGTGAAGACCTCTCCACAGTTGATCTACAACAACTTGTCACTGAGGGGGGAAGTGGAAGCTGGAGATGAAGAAGGTGAAGTCCAGGATGCAGCACCATGAGAGCTTTCCACTCCTGTTTTGTCTTCTATCCTGAGGCAAGTTGAGAAGCAGTTGCAGCTCTTAGATGACATCGATTACAATGCAGAAAGCAGCAGGGTAGCAATTTGTGGAATAAGATCTGTTTTGGCACCCTGTGAACAGCTTCTTCATGAAAGAGAAAAACAGGCAAAGCAGCAAAAACTGGATGTCTTTTTTAAGCCAACCCCCAAGAAACAGTCAGAAGACAATGAACCATAGCCATCCACTTCTGGATTAACTATTTTTCGCACCCACAATTGCACCTAAAGGTGATGCTGATGATGATGACCCTTAACATTAACAACAGAGTAACTTCAAAACCACCTCCCCCATCAAGTCATCTTGACATATTTTTCAAGATAAGGTCTCAAATTTACTTTTAATTATTAGATATGAATAAAACATTTATTCAAACTGTGCTGTCCTTTGTGTTAAGCTTTTGAATGATTTTTGAGCGACTTTGAGTGATTTTTTTTTGGTGGTCTGCCCCTAACCACGCTTTTCCCATAGGCCCCGTTATTTTTTTAGCGGGGAGTTGGCGAAAGAAGGAACCTGTTACGTTAAAGCAGAACCCCCCATATGATTTAAATATGATGTTATAATTTCTGACATTTTTATTACTATTTATTTTGTGAATGTAAGTTCTTATGGGCAAGTGATACCATCCTCATTTGCTGAATTGAAGTGATTAATCCACCATTTACTCTGTAGAGGAGATAGTTGTTGGTGATTTTGCTTCTGTCTCTGCAATAGTGCATCAGGGTTTGTACTGAGACCCCTGGAGATTAGTTGCATAGAGCCAAAGGCTTGCCCT